GCTTTCATGGTGAGGGCTGGGAGCTGTTCTTGCCAACCAGGGCTCCCTAGGGACAGCCCGGTACAGACACCCAGCAAAAATCAGCTCCAGCGAACGCCAGACTTCCCCTTCTGCGCTTAAAGCCGCTCCCTGCTCTTGCCTATCCCTCCTATGGAGATGTTTTAAATCAAATCCTCACCTCCGTCCGCCTCTCTGCCGGGTGGCTATTCCGCTGCTGTTCCAACCCCTTACCCGGACGCGCACGCGAGCCCCATCCCTGTGGTTACAGATCCCGCTGGGGCTCGGCACGGCGGCCAGCGTGCAGGTGGGGAACGCGCTGGGCGCTGGCGACTTCGAGATGGCCAAGAGATCCTCCTCCACCAGCCAGCTCTGCACAGGTCAGAGTGCTGGGAAGCCTTTGCCGGGGCTCCCTCCGGGCTCGGCAGGAGCAGGGAGCATTTGCAGTCTGCACCCTTGTCCCCTCTTTGCCCCCTGCTCTCTCCCTTCGGCTGCTCCCGAGCTCTGCGTCACTGCCACGCTGGGCTCAGTGCTTTGCTCTGTTTCTCAGGGGTTTTTTGCGTAGCCATGGGGGCCATTTTAGCCGCCACGAAGGACGTGCTGGGATACATCTTCACCCCTGACAAGTGAGTGTCCCCAGCTCCTGGCCTCGATGTGCGGAGGTCAGTTCCCAAAAGCGATTGTTGGCTCTTCTCTGTCCCCAGGGAGATCATTGACTTGGTGGCCTGGGTCATGCCTGTCTACGTTGTCTTCCACTTGTTTGAAGCCATGTGTGTAAGTCCCTGGAGATGCTGCTATTTTTGGTAGGGGAACCTTGGTGCTGAGCGGCAGCATCACAGGTTGGTCGGTCAAGGGTCCTTCGGGGTTTGAGTGAGCACCGGCACCAGGACCCTGCAGAGCTCCTGGGACCACCTCTCAGAAAGCACCGAGTGCGTAAAAAGATGATGACCCACAGGACCGGGCAGAGACACAGAAATAAGTGGGCAGAGGCAGGGAGCTCCCCAGCTCCCACTTCACACGCGTGTTCGTGAATTTTCCACTTCTAGCAAATGAACTCTGTTAGTCCCGATGGTGAAATATTAACCCCAGCCCGGTACACCCTGGGGATGCGGTGCTGCTTCGGTGGCAGCTCGTCATGCGCGAGCGCTGGCAGAGCACCGTGCTGGGCACTAAACATTAATTCTGGAGAAATGAAACTTTCTGCCGAGGCTCTGTAGGGTTCAGCCCCAAAGCCGGATGAGCACAGACATAAGCATGAGGTTGTCCTTAGATGCTCTGCTCCAGGGGGGATGAGCAGAGGGCTGCACTGCTCTGTGGCCCACAGGATGGCATCAGCAGACCTCATACGTGCACACTCTGCTGCTGAAGGTCCTGTGGAGCTGAGGAGCATTGCCCTGGTGGCTCTGCAAACAGGAACAGCACCTCCAGCTGCCTCGGGTTCTCTTGAGGATGTGACACTTGACCAGTCTGGTCATCCATCAGGTGACGTTTCTCCTCTCCGCAGGCTGGTCCAGCGAGTGCCTGATGGAGTGGGACAGCTTCACCTCCCTGGCTGTCCCCAGCATGCTCATGGTGTGCATCGAGTGGTGGACCTACGAAATTGGGAGCTTCTTGATAGGTCAGTGGAGAGGGGGAGCTGCGAGGAGGTGGACAGGGAGTGACCCAGAGCGGTGGCTGCGGCGTGAGAGCGCCTCGCCACCGGGCACCCGCACCCAGCGCTGACCCTCTCCTCTCCCCAGGCCTGCTGAGCGTCGTTAACCTCTCCGCCCAGTCCATCATCTACGAGGTGTCCGTCGTCGCTTTCATGGTGAGGGCTGGGAGCTGTTCTTGCCAACCAGGGCTCCCTAGGGACAGCCCGGTACAGACACCCAGCAAAAATCAGCTCCAGCGAACGCCAGACTTCCCCTTCTGCGCTTAAAGCCGCTCCCTGCTCTTGCCTATCCCTCCTATGGAGATGTTTTAAATCAAATCCTCACCTCCGTCCGCCTCTCTGCCGGGTGGCTATTCCGCTGCTGTTCCAACCCCTTACCCCGCC